TATCATGGACTGGAAGCAGTGCTGTATAATGAAGTGAGTATTTGTAATTAATTGGTTCAAATCCTGACTCCACCAAAAATTGTGACTTTGGACAAGTTCCTGAGTTTGAGCCTCAGTATGCTGACATATAAAATGGAAATAATATGTTTGATCATTCTATCTTGTTATTTTTAGTTTTTCATTCTCCTTTGTGAGAAGGAAATGAGATCAGGAAACACTGGAAAGACAGGAAAGGAAGCAATTACTACAGAGTAGGATAAAGGTTCCCATTAGCCTCCCTCTCCTTGGAAGGGTGAGTGTCTTAGACTTGGGTGAATGGGGGCAATCTTAATCCAGGGGCTGGTACATCAGTGTTTTATGTTAATTTCTCTTTATTTTACTTTTGATTTGCCCTATTTTGGGGTGGAACTTTTTAGTGAAAGCAGCAGATTAGTATGTAATCTCAAAACCAGCACCCTGTTTTATTTCTAAAATGTCCATGATTGCTTGCCCAAGCTTACCTATACAGTCATCCCTGTGTCTGTGGGGGATCGGTTCCAGAGCCCCCCCATAGCTACCAAAAATCTCAAAGTTCAAGTCCCTTAGCCAGCCCTCTGTATCCACAGGTGCAGAACCTATGGGTATGGAGGGAAGACTGTAGTTAGGTGCTCAATGATGTTTTTAAAGGCACAAGGATTCTAAGAACATCTTTCCTGAGTTTCCAGTCTTTAGGACCCATGGTGGGATTTATAGGATCACAATGTACTGTGTATTGTGGTGACACAAGCCCAGGAAATGGGCCTAAGAACCTAGTCCCGAATCTCCACATTCTACTGGCCAGGATACCTTGGGCAAAATTGAGTCTTGGTTTCTCTGTATGCTTATTTGTAACACAAGTGGTTGTAAGAAAAAAATGAGATACTTCAAAGTGCTTTGGATACAAGTTTGACTATTGATAAAACAATGTCAAAAATAGAAGTGCAGTGAAAAAAATCAAGTTTTATATACAGTCAGATTAGTACTAATGATAGTTATCAACAATGTACAAATTTTAAAGGATTGAGAGAAGTCCTGGATAAAATAGAAAGTTTTATGCTGGTATCAGTATGTTACAGGGAGCAGGGGAGAGGAGTATGGAACTGAAGTGTACGATGGGGCCTGGAAGGCGGCCACGGAATTGAGGAGAAAAGGAACTTCAGGAAGGTTAGTTGTCTTCATTACCTCTGTCTCCTTATGAAGTTTCTCATCCTAAAAGGTGAATAATTGGGTCATTATCTCTGAGCTTTGTTAAAATTCTCCACCTAACACTTTGATTGGATTTGATGAAATTATTTTCTTGAATTCATATTATCTTCAGGTTGTTTGAAATTTGTTTGTTTTGTCATGGTTATTGTTTGCCAAGTTAGATTGGAATGACTTGGCTTACAATCAGCTTATGAGTCCCACTTTTTTCACTGTTGGGAGACTGGAGTTCTACCTAAAATTGAATTGGACAGTCAGGCTTGCCCTATTGTGTTAAGTAGAGGCGGTCTTAGCATTATAGAATTTGGGTTTTTACATTATTGATATAGTAAAGATTCTTTATCTATGAGGAGCAGAAACTATCTTAGCTAGAGTAAACTAAAAAGAGGTCAGTTTGTTAGAAGGATGTGGGTATTTCATGAAATCCAAGGGTAAAAGGATAGCTGGGTCTAGACAGACAGAAACTAGAAGGCTGTTAGAAACAGACAACCTTACCCTGCTAAAGTTTCATTCTGTTTCATTCCTCTCACTCTTGGTCAGACCAGTGTTCTCTGCATCTCCAGTCCATAAAGTGAATGTAGCCACCCTCCCAGTTACAGTTCCTGGGCCCTGAAAGTTAACTGCAGTCTTTCAATTCCAAAGTTAAATTACAGGAGAATTTGGCATCTGATTGGCTCAGTAGGGTGCAGGTGTCCATCCGTGGTTCACCCAACAGTGGTCAGAGGAGATGGGAAACCTTATAGTATATACAGGATTTTTGGAGACCTGTCACTATAAAAGGGGAGAGATGGGGAAGGGAGGAAGTTCCCTGAGAATGAGGAATTGATATGACCTGGGCAAGCACCTCTAAAGATATACAGAATGACTGATGGGAAGTCATCAAATACATGTCAATGGCTGGATTTTTTCCTAATACATATTCAGTCTACACATTCCCAGCACAGACCAAAGCTTTAGTCTCATAGCCCTCAGGGGCCCTGCACATAATTTCCTCTATCTTTGCTGTATTTGATATTTTGAGATGGGGAGCACACGTTTTAATGTTCTGCTGTAATGACTGAATTATATGAAGCTCAAGATCATTGCTCCAGCATTGTTTTCTACCATGTGGTACACTCACCCAACTCTCTGAAACTATGCAAGTTTCCTCCCTGGTACCATGATCTCTCATGCAAGTC